CCTTTAACTTTCACATCCTGTAAATGACATTCATATGTGAGATTAGTTTTATTTTACTACCTTATCTCATCCCATGCCACGTTCTGCTAAGCAAACATCACTGTTCATAGTTTCTGTTACAAAATAGCACGCACAAGCTAGCTGTTACCTGAAATGTGCTGCAGTACTTACTCTTTTCTCTTATCTCTTACTTATAATTCTTGTCGTAAATGGCTATCGACAATAGTAGGAGATTGGATGAAATCACTACAATGAAAGCCTATCCTTTATTAAGTCCTTCAAAGTTGTCACCTCCAGTTGCAAACAGATTTACTCAAATTCTGGAAATCCAATATTCAGTTCTCATAATAACATTTTTATTCTTATGTTACAAATTCATTTCATTATTTTTTTTTACATCAATATGATTACATAGATTCACTAAACTTTCTTTCATGGACTTTCAAAGAACAAATATTACTGGGTAAAAGCAAAGGCATATGTTCAGTCTAAGAACACAAACTTCTAGTACCTGTCATGCAACAACTGCAATAGGGTTTCCAATGCCAACAAAGCAGGAGAAATCTACTCCTGTAGTTTTTGCAAATCTAGCAGCTCAATTGTATCTCCAAGGTATGCACTTCATCCTTCAACACACTACACAATAATTTCAACCACTTCATTTCCTTTATTCAATTCAGTGTTGAAAGTAATGTTCTTATCACGTCATTTTCCTCCACCATAAATTTCTAGTTTTACTAACATCTATATATGCTACAGAGCCAGAANATCTATATATGCTACAGAGCCAGAACTGATGTAATCTTAGAGGATTCAGCATGAAATCTAAAGGCTTTAGTCATGGCTGAATGTGCTGAGAAAATCTTGGAATGTCCTGCAAATATGTTCATAAAAAAAATTGTCAATGTACTGATTCTATTCAACTTTGTCATTTTCCTTCTCCCTAAAATATATGTTCATTACCATTTCGCTGCTAATCAATTATCTCATGTTTGTAGGACAGTATCATATCTAATGATGAGGACATTCACATAGATATTGAGGATGAACATATATTTTACATCAAGGCACTTCCAATGG